ATTGATATATACTGAGTTGACAATAAGCGTGATTCTTCGCAGAGTAACTTACGTGGTAAGTCATTCATTAGGAATGCTTTTTCTTCATGTTGACAGTCGAGTAAATGAGATTATAATAAAAAGTGTGCCAGAATAGTATTCCATATGATAAAGATTCATCAAACCTAGTATTATTATCTAGACGTTTGGTGCGAGATGTTGACATATTCATCCAACAGTGCTCATCAACCTCGGGATCCAAATGTGACAAAAATGACGAGACAATATTTGTTTTTGTCATCCAATAGTGTGAGAAGTAAAGTTACATTTATCTTAAAACCGTTTTGTCAGAACATTTGTTGGGATGAGTGTTTTGTGGTAAAATACCTTGAATGAGATTTTCAACCCTATTCTTCATTAATTTTTTTGATCTAAATGATAATTAAGCGATTTAATGAAAATCCATCTAGCACAATCGGAATGTCACAACCTAAAACAAACACAATTTGTGGTCTATTATAAAAGTATACTGCGTGAAATTTGCAATAATCATAAACATTTTATTACTTACCTTCTTTCTAAACATTTTGGAATGAAGAAATACATAGATACTGGATAACCTGAACTGAAAAGAATATACTTAAAAACATTGTTTAAATTAGTGACAAGCAATTGTTTCATATTCAATCTTATGAGACCTTCTTCAGTGTTATCAGTTACTATTAAAGGACACAAGATATTTTGTATTTAACTGATCAGTGGCATTATTTGACTTCAGTAGTGTCCCAAACAATTCCAAGAGCCTCATCATTGCTATTTTGTAATTGGTTTTTTTATTATCCTAATAAAAATTCATCTAACAAATCCGTAACCTTACAAGTCATTGTTATGAGTTACTTTTCCATCTTAATATGAATTACTTAGCGCTAAAATGAAATGTAAAAAGGTTGACACATTTTTTTGATTTACATATAAAGAAAAACAAAGTTGAAGATTTTTATTTAGTTGATTGAGTTGATTTCTCAAAATGTTCTTTGCAGGAAGTATTTACGTTGATTAGTCATTAAGCAGTCACCGATGTTATTTTTTTCTAGGTCTTAAAGTTAACTGGATCTCACAAACGGCATTAGTCTCTTCAAAATTCTCGGTACACCTTGGTGACTGTTGTCTGCTAGCACAAAATCTAGGTCTACCGTTTCCTATGGCAACAAACCAGAAAACAACGGGGCATTATTCAAACAGATATTATCATGCCTTTCTTTTTTCATCAGTGAATTAAAATCTGGTATAGTGTAAGATATAAATAATAAAACTAAGATTCAGTGTTCAAACAATATAAAAGTCGGCTCGGTAAAGATCCGTGAAACTTAATAGATATCACGTTTTGGAGTTTATTTATACGCAACACGTAACAGCCAGTTATCCAAGTCTCAAAAGTCTCCATAAACTGTTATCATTATCAGAAACCTGAGAAGTGCCTTCGTAAACCTATAACTTCTTTTGAGCTGTGCAGCGTGCGTAAGATAAATTCTTTCCGGAAATAACCATTCTGTAACTCATTATTAGAATAATGATCAATATTTCAGTTGCTGCAAGCTTCCCTGTGTATACTAATTCCATGAATGTAAATGAAAATGATTATATTTATCTAACGAATTTTTTGTTAACTGAATTACGAAAGAGAAAATAGAAATAACAATATCTTCATTATAATATCGTAGGCAAAGATGACTCTTGAACAAACTGCAAATAAATTTAAGCTTCCTTTTTTATCAATTGGTTTCTGCAGTTATAAGTATCATGGTCTAATTTAAATTCTGGAAGTACGGTACTTTCTATTTCGGAACCAGTCAACTGATTGTAATTAGACTTAAAATGTTCTGGTTCAGTAACAAGACAACAGGATTGATTTCGACATTTAATGATTTACTTGATCTGTTAAAATGACCGTGACGACCAGACTGATCGTTCTTACACTGAACAGATTGTCCAACTGCTTAAGGGAATATGTTTTAGAAAACAGAATCATTAGCAATTTGACGGACTATGTGAATATATTAGCAAATTATAGCTGTTGCTTTAAAAAAATATCCAATCCAAATGTTGTAATGAGTTAATGACTGGATGACGACAAATTAATTAGAAATGAATAGAATGTTCATGAAGTAACCAATTATCCAACAGTTCTCTCCGTCACAATAGCATCTTTTCTTTCAGAACAGCTATCATTGAATTTTGACTTATTGGAAAATGTTAAGACTTTTTATGGTGCCTTCGAATAGATTAAATTCTACAATTTACAATGGTAAATCAAAACATCTGTTTGTGTTTTTATTGATTTGTTGAATAATGAAGTCAGTAATGATATTTTTTCCTCAATGTTGCTTATTACTACGCTTCAAAGTACATGCACAATTACTATAGTATTTATAAATCGAATATATTATATGGTGAAAAAGATGTTATTGGACCTAGACTGATTGTAAACATTTAAGGGAAAATAATAATGACAACTAATCACTTTTAAAACATTTTTACACATATTTGAATATTTACGAGCTCTGTGAGTAGAAGAAGAGCACTAGAGCTTATAAACGAGCATATATGGCTGACTCGGAAACGATAGCAGAAAGATGATGTAAGAGAACCAAATATGAGACAACTGCATGATACAAGGATTAGGCTAGCATGAAAATATAATAAATTAGAGCGACTAGTCAAGAACAAATAAGGCAAGCCAATCACTGAGATTCAAGAACAGATGAACAGGCGTGTAAAACACTTTGAAGAACTCTTCAATAGATCAGCCCCATTGAACTCACCGGACATCAAAGCAGGAACTACAGACCTTTCCATGGCTGTTACCTTACTAACATTAGAATAAATTGGCATAGCCGTTAAATAATTCAAGAGAGGGGAAGCAATAGGAAGAGAATATATACCAGCTGAGGCACTAAATTCAGACGTAGAGGTAACCGAAAAATAGCTCCATGCTTTGTTCGGAAAGGTTTCGAAGAAAGAAAAGTACCGGCAGAGTAGGAAGAAGGATATCGTATTAAGTTATCAGTGAGAGATCTCAGTGAGTGCGAGAACTACATAGGCATCACACTGCAATTAGTACCAGGAAAGGTTTTCAACAAAGTGTTGCTGAATAGAATGAAAGATTCAGTAGACAACCAACGTTAAAATCAACAGGCTGAATTCAGTAACGATAAGTCGTGCACAAACCAAGCTGTAACACTACGGTTCATCGTTGAACAATCGATTGAATGGAACTTGTCACTATATGTCAACTACCTTGACTACGAGAAGGCGTTTGGCAGCATGGATAGGAGGATCTTATGGAACCTTCTTCGACACTATGGTGTACTTGACAAGATCGTTACTATATTACGGGATTCTTACGACAGACTACACTCTAAAGTCGTGAATGGAGAACGGCTGGTAGATGCATTCCAAGTAAAGACCGGTGTTAGACAAGGCTGTTTATTCTCCCCTCTTCTCTTTCTTCTCGTGGTAGACCAGAGTATGAAAGCCTATAAATCTGGGGAACAAGAGGGAATACAATGGACAGATTAGGTGTGACTGGAAGATTTGGATTTTACAGATGACCTAGTCTTCCTGTCCTATTCACAGCAACAAATGAAGGTGAACATAGACAGTGCACAATTGGGCCTCAACATTGACTAAACTAAAATCAAGATCCTGAGATGAAACTGTGAGTAACGATAAAAACACACTTGATGGAGAAGCTCTGGAGAAGGTGGAAAATTTCATGTACCTGGTAAACAAACCACCTTTAAGCTGAAGAAGAAATTGTTCGCCTAGCCCGTCCAGTTTAGTCCAGAACGTCAATAACAGCTTCCAATATACGAATAATGTATTTCAAACATACTTGCTTTTATACCAGCCAAATAGACCCCATCACACCATAAAATATGAAATAATATTTATACAAGATCAAGCCAAAAAGTGGCTGTGAACGTGTGAGACTGTCATCAATAAACTGAGCATAATCATAATCTATAGGTCAAAATGAAGCTTATTATAAGGGAAATATAGATATACATAATCTAGTTGCTGATTAGTTATACAATAGGAATATATATAATGTTAATCCATCAATAGTCCTCAGAAGTTACCTGTAATTTAATCTTCACTAGGATATAACAGTTTCCCAACTCAGTTATGAAAACCATATAATATCTTAGTACATGTATAGCCCAGCACATTTCGTTAATTTTGCACTCAGGTACGCAATTAATCGTATTATCTTCAATAACTCTGTGGTATTTACTATAAAACGAAGTCACTCGAATTTAAACAACTTATTGTCGGTATTAACGATCGAACTAGTTCATTGATAGAGTTTCGTTTAAATATGATGAGAACTGACTTAAATTTCGGTTTACGAACACTTGCTTATTTGCTTTCTTAATGATTAAAGGCAGCAAGGTTCAGGAATATATATAGACAAGGTGGACTTTAAATCACAGATAAACTAATTATGCGGAAAGTTAACAAGTAAAAAATCTAAATGAATTAAGACTTTCATCCAACAGTTAGTCCTTTTATCATATACAGTTTGTTTTATTTTAGGTAGAAAGAATTTCACCTGAAATAGTCGCGTACTGTTTTCAAAGTTAATCAAATATGATTATTTTTCAAAAGGATTCTCTAGCTTCATCAATGCAGATGCTACATTAATGAATTCACTAAGTCGAAATTTCCTCGGATTTTCTGGACACGTTCTACTGTTTTGTAAAATATGTGTTTAAACTTATGGAAGGTACAGATAATTAAAATATTCTTCAATTCTATTGCCGTTATCTATGCACCACTTCACATAATGTGTTCAGACAGCTGTTTTCAAATAGAAGAATGTCCTTCACACAGTAGATGATAACAACCGTTAACAGATCTGAAAGTATTACTCACCGTTTTAACATGGTTGTCTGACTAGCGTCTTATCTAAAACTGCGCAGTAAATATTGACTGATATGAAGATAAATCACACTTACCTAATAAATTTGAGACAGCAAGTGAATTTTAAAAATCGAGTTCCACTGAAGTAGAAAAGATACTTGACCCATTGTCTATTCACGACACCTAGGTGAATCTATAGCAATGATACGATTAGCAACGAGCTTGATTAACTAAGGGAGATACTGATCATCAATTGATATCCATCTAACTAGAATCAATGAGAAATATCTCAACCTGAATAAAAACGTGAAAGAGTGTTTATAGCAACAAAGAAAACTCTCTTTATGAACATCCAGTTTAAAGGAGATACTTATGCAGAAGTTCCAAAAAATAGACTTTCGGAATCTGTGGGAAAAATATTCATTTTGGCTGAAATTTATAATGTCTTCTCTAGTCAGTCTTTGATTCGTAGTAGTACGAAGGACAAGCTTCGCCTTGGATCAAATCAATGTGCATCTATCAGCTTACTTATTCATTTGGAACATCATATCGCTCGTTTAAAACAAGCTATTTCGAAACACATCTTCAGAAATTTCCTTCCCTAGCCATCTAAAGGATTACAAAATTCAGTGAAAAGTTCAAACTCGTAACATCTAGTTACTTTTCATCACTATGGTTCAAAAGAAACCTCCATCCATATCATTCACATAGTGAGAAGAATCGGTTTAAAAAGAATGTAAAGTAAACGATATGCACAGAAAAGTCTGTAGTTATCCACCAGTTCAAGACTAACGTTTGCGTACAAAAGCAGTATGTTCAATCCCTTATTCTTTCATGATCTTATCTTTTCTTACTATCTTCCATAATCTATCGTTTTTATTCTCTTTTGTAATCATTTCCGCAACCATTAATTAGCCATTATCACAGCCTTTAATTATCCTGTTCTTAATATCTACCATGTGGACAGTTATATTCACCTCATCATTTCTCATTAGCAGTTACATTTCCTTTCAATATCTGATTTCGAAAAACAATTAATGGAACGATCGTAAATACGATTGTGAATCTCAAATAGATGACATCACTGAAAGTAAAATTCTGTTAGCTTAATTGTTTGTATTCTTCTTCAAACATGAGATAGATTATGGGAGTTTGTGAAGAGAGAAAAGGTTTAAAACAACAGAAGTTACATACCATGTTTTGTAGCCACCATTTGTGATATTTTTGTTCACTCAATCGATGCATGGCATATACTGGAAGATCACTCTTTGTTTCAAACCTTATTAATTCTTATATTACTGAATTTTTCATCAGATGCGTTCACATGTAGTACTGACTTAACTTTGGGTCTGTTTTTAATTTTCTTGTATGGTACCAGTTACAAACAAGAATAAATACAGAAGCTTGTTTGTAAATTGCGTGGTAATGTCAACTTATGAAAATCTTATATTTTTTCTTTGTTTTACGCTTGAGAATATGCTGTTAAGCTATTCAGACACACCAAAATGAGAAAGTTCGGATTATAGTCCAAATAAATTCTAATTTTATTTCAATGACTTGGCAACATTTTGGAAATCAAACTCCGCTAGTGTTCTGAATGAGCAGACAAATATTCAATAAATCGCTCCTACCCCGTTGAAGTATAAAAAACATTGATAAATGTATTTGTTCTGAGCTATTATTCCCGGTATTCAGTGCATATTATTTAACATAACTAATTAAATGTAGGTGATATTTCAATACACGTACGTGTTATATAAATATGATTTTGGGAGCATTAACGGTTTACAGTTATATATAACATGTTGGAAATAGGATTGTTATAGTATAATTGTTAATTCGGAAAATAAATAAACAGATTTCCCAACTCTTTCAAAAAGATCAGTACCATCGGTTAAGTGAACAGTGTTTTTACATACTAAGCAACTGATATTCATATTTTACAATGTTGATTTTACTACTAAATAAATTTATATTTCGTTATAGTTTGATTTTAATGAGGTTATATTTCTATATTGTTTGCAACATGGACATTTTTGTAAACTCTAATGCACTCGAAACAAAAATTGCTGGACAAACTTAGGGTGGATCTTTCCGTACTTCTATAAGTTTATGTTGAGTGTTTCAATTAGGTTATATGACCGTTTTAAACAGAAATCATCAGTGCCTAAAGCCACTACTTTTGAAATAAAATTAAAAATAATGTATGACAGTAAAATCTTGGTTGATAATAAAACGTAGTATTTAGGTGGATTTCGTCATGAACTGACATTAATTAGGACACTATTGAAAACTATGGAGGACTAGACAGCTGTTTTATCCTGATATAGGCCTTCTCAGAGCTTTGAATCCATGGCAGGGTTCGAGCCTTGGAAATTAAAATCTCTTGGGGAGCTTATTAACTTTAGATTATTGTGTAGGAATTCATCCAGTTCTGTTACATGGGCTGATTCCAAAGGGAATAATTACCTAACGAAGTAGGGTTAAGTTCATGAACAGCAAACATGTAATAAACCATAGTAAAATGAACGATGATGTTATAGTTCAAGGCTTAAATAACTTGGTGAGTATCCTAGTATATATTTGTTTTTTTTATATCCTAGACATGAACTAAAAAAAATTCCGTCACAAATTATCTTACAGAAAAATGCCTGTAAGTCAATTTCCAAAGTAAATTGTGATACGATATTTTTTTTAACTGAATGACAATAAAAAAATTATTATTGCAAAAGTTTAAAGGTAATCTAAAGAAGTTCGACAGTTTTTATCAGAAATACTTAGACAATATATTCGTTTATTTATCAGTCATAACAATGTTCATAAAATCGAGTTGCACCAGACTCATTCCATGCTAAACTACGTCTTACACCATGTCGAACTCTAGATCCAGTTAACCATGACGAATGACCGTAGTAATCACGATCAGCACTGCCCAAAGCAATGGCTGAACTAGCCATTGTTAAACGTCTTGCCATATTTAGCATACTTGTTGTTTCGTGCTTATGTGAGGATAATGTTTGGGGTTGAAAGGAATTTCTTGACAAGTGCTGTAATGCCATACTTAAACGTCTTGCTTGGATGTGATCGATGCCTATGACAACGGGTGTATTTGGTGATGTAGTTAACTGTACAGCAGATGACTCTTCAGGAACTTTTAACAAATTACCGTCGTTATTAGTGCTACTAACAACTATTTCATTAACAACAGTGCTGGTGCTTGTAGTCTTCAACTGGTTCGATGTTGCTATTGTCAAAGATGGGATTAAGGTCTTATTTTCTGTATTCGGAAGATCTTCAGCAGCTAGTGCAAATGGTACGGATTGTGGATTAAATTTGTTTGAACTTGTACGTTTAGTGAAGCACAACTGAACTAGACAACCAACTGATGTCAAAGACAATATGCAACCAGTTATCAAAATATTCCTTATATGCAATAGGTATCCAACCAGAAGAAATAAAATACTCAAGATTAAAGTAAATAATAGAATAATTCTTACTGATAAAAAGCAAAATATTCCTTTAAGATATTTTAGTTTTTTACGCCTTGATGCTTTACGGTGTATTTTCTTCAATTTTGATAAGTGAGCTTCAGGAGATACAGAGTCTGTGTAATTTTGTGATGTAGAGCTTTCAGTCACGGAGGACATAGTCGATGACGAGCTGCTGTAATAATTTTTACTTCCAGCATTTGATGAATTGTCCACAGATCTAGTGTCAACATTTTCGTGATATGATACATTTCGCTTTGATTTTTGTTTTAGAATTTTGTTATTATCCATAACGTTTTCACAACTATTAACATCTTTCTCACTGTGTGGATTATTTTGCTGTCCCACATTACTGGGTAACTGCTGTTTCATAATGCCTTCATCATTTCTATTGGTCATTAATAGGTTTTTACTTCCATGTTTGAAACCTAATGATTTTGGCACGTTTTGTTGACGTTTACCTGAAGTAGTTTCAAAGTCGTTTTTAGATTTTTCCGTTAATCCATTACTATTTTCCCTTGATATGTCGGTTTCATAAATAGCTCCACAAGTATGTAGTTTTTCTGCGGACATCGAATTTTCTAAGTGACTACTACCAGTGTTTGTTTTAGTGAATTGAAAAGTAGATTTCATCTTTAATAAATGTGATACATAATTACAACAAGTCTCGTAGTCATCTTTTGTTCATTATTTATAGACAAATAATCAAAGTCCTCTCTACACTCAAAATAAATAAAACAGTTTGAAATTACTAACTTACAATTGTGGTCTAAAGATGCCAATCAGGTTCATTTATGTCCATCAAGGTTAAATTGTTATGATAACCAATCAGATTAACATGTTATATTATTTCGATTAATCAACCAAAAATAGAACTGATTAAGTGTTGTGTGCCTACATTTCTAAAAAAGAAACAAATTAATGTGGATACGAACATCGTAAACTATGTAGAAGTGTTATTTCTTAGTTTGCTAATAATCGTATTGCAATATTACAAGGTAGTTAGTTTTATGTTGTCATCACAGTTAAATATTTTAGAACCAGTTCGTTATTCCAAAACTAACCAAAAATCGGGATAATTAGAATGGCAATTGCTGAACGATTTCTAAATTCTCACGTGTGTCACATGTCTAAAAACCCTTATCTAACCACTTTTTCCGTTTCGCAAACATTGCTGGTGAATAATATTTTATTATTTTAGTTATGCCAAATATAACTAATCCATAAAACAAATAAAGTCCTGAAACTATGGATTTAGAGGAAAAACTTTTGCAAGATTTCTTGCTAGTATTCAATCTGAGTAAAGAAATCCAGTGTTATGCAATAATGTGTTTTACATGAAGTTACTAAACCTGCAAATATCACCCATTTCATTTGGGGTCGTGCATTCTGCAAACGAAGTGAGGAACGTTAAAAGGGATCATTGTTATGTCCCGGTACTTCGTAACGTAAGAGTTTTTATTTAGATCATGAACCGATTGATGCTAAACCACCATTGAAAACCTGGAAGCATTGGACGAATTTATTATCAAGCTGTACATTTGTTTATTTCGGCTGTTTATTCTTCCCCATAATATTTGGGATTGTTATTGATCAGTCTCTTTTTGGCATATGTGTATCCTAGATACTACCAATAATTCACAAGCATTATAAAGAAACTGATCGATTGCAATCATGAACATCAATGAAGTGACTGAACACAACCAATACAGACGAAATAAACTTCACCCTGTTACACTAGCTATTGGATATCTGGACACAGTGATTAAGTGGATAACACAATGGCGTTTGAAGCGAACGAGTGAACATGAACTCTGGGATGCAGGTACATCCAGCTGACAATTCTCAAATACATTAACACCGTTGGATGCCGGCTCAGTGGTCTAGTAGGTCAGGCTTTCGAGCGCGAGAATGAAGACCCTGGGTTCGAATCACGCAAGCGCGATCGTGGATGCGCACTGCTGAGGAGTCCCACAATGGAACGAAATGGCCGTCCAGTGCTTCCAGGTTTTCAATGGTGGTCTAACATCAATCGGTTCATGATCTCAATCGATAACTGAATAATCTCCACAACCCTATACTGAAAATATTTAATCTTCCAAAGAACTATCATGAAAAGGTAAATCAAGTAATAATGAACTATTTTTTACGTTGAAATCTGGTGTCGAAATTATTGTTACTATTATACTCGGAAAATTCTGGTGAATGTTTAAAATAATCAAAACACTTTGATTTTTGATCGTATTCTTTGGAAATTTTCAAATGCTGTTGAATAGGAACTGGAACTATTTATCTAAATAAATATTACTTTTAACAGTCACTTATTTGAAAATAGACACAGTTTATGATGTGCTACGGACATGAATTCGAATTTAACTCGTACCACCGACACTGCTGATTTAAGCATGTACCAGGTATGAAATTTCGAAAACTATGTTGGTAAATTATTTTAAAAAACAATGATTTATACAAGTAAACTATAATCACATTGACACTGCATGAAGGAAAATTGTCAGCAATTTTGCTTGACAAATGTTTATTTCTAAAGTTTTTTTTGTATTTTCAACTCGATTCAGAATATTGAGTCCTTAGAAGAATATGTTTAACGGTTTGAAATTTACAATTCAGAACACCAAGTTTTAGCTATATATCAAACCTTTTAATACAGAGAAGTGTTTCCAGTTGCTAAATAGGCGTGTGCTATAAACTGAGATTGAGTAAACACTCTCAATTAAGTACCTTCATAACTAACTCACTGAAATATATATTCGATGATATCCCGCTTAATGGAAGTGACACACTGATATTTAGAACCTAGATATAGAAAACGGATATCTGTTCAAGATAAATCTAGAGCGAGAACGTTCCAAGTATTATAACTGCATCCGAAATGTTACAAATGAAGTACAGGAGTAGTAGGTTAAACCAGAGTAATAAATTAAAACCTTTCAACTGTGGGGCTTCTTAGTAAAAACCCTTACCGAACCCAGAGGACCTAAAATGAATCAGTTACTACATCAATAACTGAACAGCAGTCAAGGCAAATGAAACAAGATAAAGTAACTAACTAAAATAAAATAAAAGTTCAGTTCTAACACACAAAACCAAATTACCGTTACTAAATTCACTTCGTATTTTTGACTTGAATCTTCCGATTGATCAGTCTCTTATTGGCATATGTGTATACTGTGCGTATTGCCTTAATTCGGAAGCATTCTAAGCAAAGATGGGTAGTGGCTAGAAGTGGAATCCAGGACGCGTGTTTCGTCCGATTTGAGACTCGTCAGCTGGATGTACCTGCATCTCAGAGGGACTTCTTAAGAATATACTATAAGTAATGACCTAAATGTCTCAGGTAACTTAATGCTTCTGATTCCTAGTATTTATTGGTGAGCAGCATAAATTAGGCTTTTGCTCTAAAATAAAGAGAAAAGTATTTAAAATGAATCATCGACGTACAGATTCATTGAACAAACTATGTATAAATAAGTTTATCCTATTTTCGGGAAAGTTGTTAATGATAAAATCAAGAGTAAATGGGTGGTGAACACATTTGTACCGAAGACAGAACCTCAGTTTTCTAATCCTGTTTTCTAACTCTGTAGAAAAAGGTAATAAGCGAAGTGGTGTTAATTGTTTAATTGACAGCTATGTCGGCACGGATACGTTATAACTAGAAAAAAGAGTAAACAATGCACTACTGTGTTTTTTTCACTACACAAACAATACTGAGTCCGTTACTCTCGTACTGTATTTGTCAAGACCTACATACCACACCAAATTCAATCGTTCTTATTCCCTCTAATCACTGTCCCAAGTACCTGAAGAATTTATTATTCATACGATTATACATTTAAAATGTTACGTGGTTGGAGTTGATCGAGAGATCCTGGATTTAGGTTTCTTGCTAATCGACACTTGTTACCTTACATCTCAACATAGAGTATGAAATACTGAGTCACTTAGACTAGTGACCACAATGCAAATGAATCGGCAGAGCTCGATTAGTACTCAAAGTACATGGATTAATCAATGCTCAGTGATCAATCAATTGTAAATACATTTAAAATCCCGGGCTTTGATGCGTCATAAATAATAAGTCCGTAAATACATAACTAAGACAGTGTTTAACATAACATTGAGCAATACATTTCATATATATTTGGTTGTACAGCATGATAATAAACTCGATGGAAAGATATTCCTCTATTGAACTTCGTGTTTTAAACATCTAGAGCTAATTAACTGTAGTTTGTATTGTTAATACAGTTGGATAGTTTAGCAACATATAGTTTAACACTAAATAAAAGTTTGGTAAAATGAGTTTGTAAATAGTAATAAATAAACTTTTTAGATGCGAACTGGCGCCCTAGTTTCATATTTTTGGTTTTCGATCCATTTTTAATAGACTTAACAACAGTAATGTGTAGCAAGCTATTGAGATACGATGCAGGGTTAAAAACTTATGATTATTACTCTAAAATACCTTATTTTCATTAGCTATTACATTAGCTAATTACAAAAAATGAAATGATGGTTTGCTTAGTGATAAAACTAAGATATGTTATTTACACAAATGTAAATTGTAATTTTTGAACGCAAAAATGAACTGACAAAATTTTTTTAAATCTGAACAGTCTTCTACATACCCTAAAGTTATGCATATATAATGACTAGAAAAAGAAGGACTAAGTACTTTATGACGCTTGATTGTAGATACATTTATTTCAGGTATAGATGGTTTCTTGTACACATATAGATGCACGCAAACATTGAACTGAAAATGGTCATATAGAATATTAGAAATGTTATTTTCATTAATAATTTGTATAGTTTCTTTGAATGATAAAAATCCCAAAGGAATATTTTTTTAGTAAATCTACTTCATCTACCACCTCTTTTCAGAACTTTTACGTGAATATCTGCAATTGGGAAACTACTTTAAAGTAATTAACACTTAGCAAAAATGTAATCAGAATAGAGTGAATTTGCATCAATTAAACTTGTGTACGACCTACAGATAACCCATAAATTGAATACCTTGAAGTTCATAAAATGGATAATGAATTCACAAGGATAGATAATGGATGGAAAAAGAGTGGAATTGACCTGTGGAAAGCTGACAAATGATAGCAGAAAACATGGACGTTTCTGATAGTTCATGAACAGACACCATATCTTAGTTGGATCACGCCTAACTTTCTTACGACCTACTTCTACACTAGAGATTGTAGAACGTTGAGGTAGTCAAAGTACAGGCATACGTAATACACTGGTAACATCTGGTGTCTGAAGTTGGTAGTATTAACTTGCTCTAAAGACACTGAAGGTTGAGTCCTGATGATCCACGAATATTCTATACTTTTAAAGGGTATGTATGACATCCAGAAATAGAACGGACTGGAATGGTGCAAAGCAAAATAATCCTTTTATTGTCAAACGGATATCTTGCCTACGTCACAGCAATAGAAGTTGGCAAAACACAACCAAGCCTTCGTCGAGCACCAGCATACCAGCGCTAATGAGACTTCTAAGATAAATGAAATGATTAATATTACTCAACTACATCTCTCTGTAACTATAGTTCAGATACTGATGCAGACCAGTCCTAAAGAGAGTTCTAATAAGGACAT